AAAAAAAAAAGTATTTAGATCCTAAATCTATGTTTTTAAGTTTATTTTGAGAGAGCGTGCGTGTGTGTGAGAGTGGGGGAGAGGGGGAGAAAAATCCCAAGCAGGCTCCACACTGTCAGCGCAGAGCCCAATGTGGGGCTCGAACTCATGAACTGCAAGGTCATGACCCAAGCTGAAATCAAGAGTCGGATGCCCAACCAACTGAGCCATTCAGGTGCCCCTAAAGGTATTTAGATCTTAAAATATTCCAAGCTTATGCTGATGTCAGCACATGAAACCACCAGGAAACAGCTGCAGGAAGCACGTTTCAAAGCCACTTTACACCCTTCCCAGCTGTTAGGTAGGTCTGGGTCCCCTCCCACCCCCCGCCATGTCCCAGGGCTTTGAGCTTGATGAGCAGATGACACCTGATGGTTTCCCTAGCAGATTATCCGGTTCTATCCTAAGTCAGAATACTGCCTAACTTGTCTTCTGCACAACTAACAAGATAGCGTTGGCATTCAGTAGATGTTCCGTGCCGTAAACGTTTGTGTGGAAACATTTGCCTACGCTAAGGAAATTCTGATAAATTCTGATAAATTCTGATAAAGAAGCTATGTCTGCATGCCTCCATTCTTGGCTCCTCGCGTGGTTCTAGTAACCTCCTGCCAGGGACCTCTCACCGTGGGCTTCCAGCATTTCAAGAATCAAAAGATGGGATAATAGCAATGCTATTGTCACTGATGGAATTTTGACAAGCCCGGGGTGATCTGAGAAACTTAGCGGTCCTTATCAGAAGGAAAATAATCCGAGTCCACTTCTGGGGGGAACATTAGCCATCCTTCAGTACGATACTTGGACTGGTTGTTGCTTGCACACTTTTGCAATGACGGTATCCCAAACTGAACGCTGGGGTACTAACTGTATCAGTCCAGACTATCAAGAGGTCTCTGTTAGATGGCAAATTAGATTGGCTTATTCCCCTCAGACAGAAGAGACTTCCTGTGCTTTCCTGAGGACGTGACTTTATCTACCAGACCAAACATCCCTAGAGTAACCAGCACTCTCTGAACTGACAGAGGAATCTTCCACTGTGGTAATATCCCTTTGTTAAACACAAAGACCTATGGCTCCATTTTGTGGAAATTCGGGAAGCAATTTAAGTCTTTTGGTTCGTCCACTTCCACACTGGCAAGGGCACAGGTTTTACAGTATTTTATGCACTAAGTGTACATCTTTGATTTATCTTAATTTTTATCCTTAATTTTCCTTCATAATTATTTTGTCTAAATCTTCTTGACTAGGGTATGTTTTGTTTTGTTTTTTAATTTGAGAGAGAGTGTGCAAGCAGGAGAGAGGGGCAGAGGGAGAGAGAGAACCTTAAACAGTCTCCACATTTAGCATGAAGCCCAACATGGGGCTCGATCCTGCGACTCTGGGATCATGACCCGAACCGAAATCAAGAGTTGGATATTCAACCAACTGAGCTACCCGGGCACCCCACCGACTGGGATGTTTTTGAAACCCACTTCACCTCAATTCTTGTTGCAAACAGGGTATTCGTTGATAGGTCAACACCACTATGAGTTAGATTATTCAAAGAGCTGTAACTAGTTCAACGGAAATACAGTAAGGTTTGCCAGACTGTTTGAAAAGACAAACTTATGGTGTGTAACCAGTCACGGCACTCGGCTCCTCATTTAAATGAGGAGCTCAGTCAGCCCCAAGAACGTAAAAAGTGCTGTTTTTTGAAGGAAAGAACTGTCCCTGTTCCCTTGAGACTCCGTCCTACACACCTTGTACCACCTATAACCACAGTGCTCAGTAAACATTGTAACAGTGATAAAAGCAGGGAACATTTTCTCCAAAGCCATGAATTTATTCTCTAGAATGTTCTACTATTATTATTTTTTTTTTTTTTTTACCTGGGCAACATCTATATAATTTATCAGGTCTAGGGGCCCTTCAAGACTTTTCCCTTCAGAGAATTTCAGTTTCTCAATGGCACCAACATATTTTATTCGAAATTCTGCACAGGTATCTGAAGTGTTATTGCTTTGTCCTAAAGGGGAAAGAAAAATTGTTAATGGTAAGACTTCAAAAGAAATATCTGCGTTACAGGGTATCCTCAACCCCTTTGCAAATAAAAAACAGACTGTCATCAGAACTTCACCATTAATGAAAATAAAAAACTTTTAATGCAAAATTATTTGAAGTAATAGGAAAGAACTTGGAATTTCACTAACCATTTCCTCAGTGACTCATAATACACTAAACATAAAAATCTCAACAGGAATAAACCAAAACACAGGAGAAAGATAAATTGTCAACTAGATAATGATTGGGTACCTTCATGACACGTTAAAATATTTAGAGTTTTTTTGGTTTGTTCTTCCTCTTTACCATATTAACTATTAATTTGCTTTCCCCATTCAGCAAATCTGGTCTACCGCTACCGGTCAAAAAAAAAAAAGAAAAAAAAGAAAAACCGCAATTTTTTTTTTCATGTAGATGGAATAATGCCAGACAGGAAGTCCCTTAACATTAACAGATGTTATGTTACACGACAGATGGCATCAGGCTGCAGAACCATGTGGGCTGGAAGATCTAGCCAGTCCCAAAATTACCACAAAGCACTACATAATCTTCCACGTTAAAGGAATACTACGTGGTTACTTTTAGGTTATGTTTATGTAGAAAAAGATGCCCACGTTTTTAATGTTTTTAAGACATCTGGAAGTAAAAATAATAGACCTTACGCTACCATAAGCTCTTTTACATCATATGGTTCCTGCCTTCATCCCACCCCTCTGCCATCCCCACTTTCATAGACCGATTAGTCTCTGATCCTGAAGGGAAAAGTAGAAAGAGTGTAGACAAAATATATATATATATTTATATTTCCAGTTAGACTGTAGCCGTTTATTGGCCTGGATGAGAAGGTACCTTTTGATTTCTCAGGAGCTACTAATTTCAGGTGGCTGCATAAATGTTTTGGAGACTGACAGATGCTACCCTTCCAACAGCAAGATGCTTCTCCCACGGCCCTCAAGCAAGGTCATTCCAATAGAACTCACGCTTTGCCACCCCGTGTCCTGAAAAGCTGTTTTGAAACCCCTAAATTGTTACCATGCTATTTTTCACACGTGTTTGCTCTAGAAGCCATGACGAGCAGATCGCCCACGTGTGCCAGCACCACCAAGGCAGTGGCTCTCGCCAGCCATTTCAACCCACGTCCCACCAGATCTTGGGCCATTTCCAAACTCTTGTCCAAAATGGCAGAGGAGAAAAAAAACAAACAAAAAAAACCCAGCGCACAAGAATTCGTTGTGCTACCCCGGTAACACTCTGTGAACACCGGTTAAAAGCCTTAATAAGTGGCCCAACTCTTCTCCGTACCTGAGCTTTTGGTAGAATCTGTATCGAGGCTGGCCACGGTGCTGGATCGTGAGAGCCCGCCAAGGCTGGAGTCTACAGACTGAGAAATAACAAACAAAAATGGAAACAAATTAGAAGCACTGTCTTCTCTCAAATCCTCTAACAAACACTCAAATTACTTCTTATAGTTGAATCAACACATACAAAAGCAGGTCGACTATTCAGGCAGGTCGAATGTGACAGATTGTTCTAAAGACAAATTCTATAGCAAACTTCAAAGAACAGGTGGTCCCAACTGCTCCTACCATAACAGCATCAGATAAACACGGTGTGGACATTCCCAGTATACACCACAGCCGTTACACCCGCCTCCTTGTAAGACACCTGGTAGTTAGGTCGTTGTGTGAAAATCTACGCCTTGCTTTCACTTAGTTTCCACTGACCCCAAAAAGAACCCGGTGCAGAAAGCAGGCAGGGGGCATGATCCCGTATCATAAATGAGCAAAGATACCCAGCGGGGTGAAGTGATTCACCCAAGGTTACATCTAGAAAATACCCCAGACTTCCAGTCGAGAGGCCTAATCCCCGTTCCCGCGCCTCTCCAATTACTCTGACGAGGACGTGGCTCACGCAGTCACGCACAGGCCGACCGGCAACCAGAGCACAATTCTCAATGTGAATTGCAGAGAAAACTCAATGAAACTGTTAAGCAAAACACAAAGCATCATCCATGTTAGCGTGGTCTGTTCTATAGAATCGTACCCTGGGTAGGCTTCATTTCGTTAGAAATGGCATTCCGTGAAAATTCCTGATTCAAAAAATTAGCCGCTGTTTTTCACCTCAAATCAAAGTGAGATTTTAAAAGTACAACGTACTCATATTTTTTCCGCGTTCGAGAAGTGAAATCGAGGAGAATACAAAACCGTTTCAGGCCTTATATATGTTTTTTCCCTTTTCCCGTCGTGGCGCTTCTTAGGGCAGACCGCACAATGAGAACAGAGCTGTAGGCACGGAGACGTTCACCGTAACGTTCCGTGTGGGACTGAAAACTGGAAACAGCGTACACACTCAGGGTGGGGGGGAGGCAGCTGGAACTGAGATGTTGTGACAACTGCCACAGGGCGGGCGGTCACCATCATCTTGGGGCTCAGGCCCTCACTCCACGGCGGGTGGCCCCTTCCGCACCTCTCCGGGCCCCACCGGCCACCTCAAAGAACCCGTGGCCCGGAACCAACATCTCAGGCCATTAGCAGGTTCCCTCTGGAGTCCGCAAAATCCGAGCTCCGGTCTTGCTCTGCCCGAGCAGGTCAAGGCCCCTTTATCCGCTCTCTCATCGAGAGAACGACACCGGGCCGGACCAGATGCCCAGGCTGGGGGCCCCACACAAGGGCTGCAGAGGTAACAGTGGAAAGCTTCTCGATCAGCCTCAGTTCAAAACCCTTCAGGGAAACGGTCGATTTTTCCCACTCTCGGGCAGGATTCCGAAAGATGTCAAATTCCTGTGCCTCTGGCTAGAAGCCCACCGGCTCAGTGAGACTCCCGAGTGGCCGTCACGGGGTCTTCCGCCACCGAGGCGTGGCCGCACGGGCTAGCGCAGGGCTCGCCTCCCCGGGGGCGGGCACCTGGCCACGTTGTGCCGTGGGTTCCTCTCCCACCCCACCGCGTGCCGGCACTGAGCACACTCGTCTCTTTCGAACCGAGAGCTCAGGAGGGGGTGGAAAGGGTAGCGGTGAAACCGAGAAACACAGGCCGGTCCCGGGACGGGGACTCAGGCCTCTGAGGCCCCTTTACAAACCACATTCTCACTCTCTCCAGAGCCCTAAACGTGGCATTTGCCTCACCATCCACCTAGCTCAGCGGTAAGTGAGTAGAACTACAGTTACGTACACACAACCACCGATCCCAGAATTCGAGAGCTCCGGCCCCCCGACTGCCTGCAATTTCTATCATGTAAAATGCTGCAAAATCAGTGTTTCACTGAGACCGTTCACCCGTCCTCTGTCCCAGCTGGGTTCGGGCATGGAAGAATTTCGGCAGATCTCCACAACAGAACGGAGTTAAATCGAGCGCGGGATGATGCGTCTCTGGCACCGACAATGGGTGTGAAGACGCGCCTAGTCCGAAAAACACCGGCAGCTGTGCCGCGGTTGGTACCCTCGTGCAGTGCCAGTGAGGACAGACAAGATTCTCCCCGCTTTAGGATTCTGTTCCTACGTCCGCTCCCCCTACCTTGCTCTTAGTACTGATTTCACTGCTCTGGGAACTGCTGCTACTGTGCCGTTTTTTGCCTTTCCGAAACATTTTTCACCGTCGCTCGATGCAGAGGAGCTCCCCCTGGAAGGACAAACAGTAGTTAGTCACGGCAGGAGAAATAACCTCCCGTCACTTTATGCATCGCAGGAATGAAGATCACCAATTCCTTCTGGGTTCTCTCACCGGAAACGAATATTCTCCTTCGACCACGGAAGTCGGAGGCTGCTGTTTCGTTCTTTTTTTCTTTTTAAATTTGAAAAATCTGACGCAATGAACCAGAAGGACAGAAACCTTCCTGGCCTATCCAGAGGCATGAGAAGCATCGTTCTCAGGAGTCACACACACACACACACACACACACACACACACACACACACACACACACACACACAGGGGCGTGAGAAGCATCATTCTCGGGGGTCACACACACACACACACACACATACACACACACACACACACACACACACACGTCATCTACTCCTCAAAACACTCAAGTGCCTCACCGCTCTTTAATCAGTTCAAGACCTTAGTAAAACATGTGATGTATTAGCTGACCAACCAAGGCACTGAGATTCAGCTGCTGTCTCAGGGTCACATCCTGTGAATGGTTGGGCTTAGAACGGAAGCCCAGAAATGCGCACTTTTCTCCAGATCTGGAGCGAACTTTAAGAAAAAACTGACATAAAAACATTCCAAGGTGCCAGCTCTCCCCTCCGCACTTCTCGTGAGGCCAAGGAAGGAGGCGGCCTTGAGTCTTCCAAAGTCAGTCTTGTATATATCTTTTTCTTAGGTAATAATTAACGCCTTGGAAGCAAAATTTATACTTGCCTGTTTCACAGGAGCACATCTATTATAGTTGAAAAATTGCTAAGTAACCTGCATGGCAATGCTTCATAGTTCACATGCTTCCAAATGCATCATGTCACTGTTCTCACAGCAACCTGGTGACACATTCATTTGCTCCAGATGTTGTTTTAAGGGTTTCCCTCATCTGTGCCACATATTATGCTGGGCGCTTATAGAAGGTAGGTTATAATCTGCATTTTATACATGAGGGAACTGTGACCCATCTTTCAGGAGGATTTATGAGTAAGATAACCTAACCAATTTTTACTAAGGACTGGATCCTACCAAGGGAACAAGGGAATCTGCTTACGGTAGAACGAATACTATTTTATTGTCTTCAAAGCTCCCACAGACGGCCGTGTGCACAGAGAGCTTCCTGTCATTCTGACATGATCAGTTCTTTTCAGAAAAACAAGGTACCTGATGAAGGAACAAGAATGAATAAATCGTGGGGTGGTCACTGAATGTCCCTGCTCCCTTGAGAAGTGTCTCCCACTCTATCTGGAGACCTCATCATTCTCAGGCCACTCACCAGTGTCTGTCCTTAGCCCACTTGCCCAAGACTGAGTTCCAAGCCCAAGCTTTTTCACTAGCCCCATCATCCAACTTATTTCTACATTTTTGATTCATCTGTGGAGTAGCAAGAAAATCTGATTCGTTCATTCATTCCTGGGTACCCAGTGAGCACCTTTTAGATGCTGGGGCAGTGAATAAGTCAGGTAAAGGCCCTGACCTCAGGAGGCCCATTCTCAGAAAGATCAGACAGACCAACAAGAAAACCGAATACACACACATTGTTAGGAAAGAACTGTTATGAGGGAAAATGAAGGCAAGCTCAGGAGACGCAGCTGATGGAAGGAAGGGTGAGCACATTAGAAAAAGATGCTCCGAGGGGCGCCTGGGCGGCACAGTCGGTTAAGCGTCCGACTTCAGCCAGGTCACGATCTCGCGGTCCGGGAGTTCGAGCCCCGCGTCGGGCTCTGGGCTGATGGCTCGGAGCCTGGAGCCTGTTTCCGATTCTGTGTCTCCCTCTCTCTCTGCCCCTCCCCCGTTCATGCTCTGTCTCTCCCTGTCCCAAAAATAAATAAACGTTGAAAAAAAAATTTAAAAAAAAAAAAAAAAAGAAAAAGATGCTCCGAGGAAGTGAGCAATAAGGAGACGTGAAGAAGGAAAGGAGGGTGGCCGCACGGGTGCGGAGGAAAAGCAGTCCAGCAGAGAGCAGGGCAAGTGCAAAGGTCCTGAGGGCACATGTCTGCTGCCAGGAACAGCGAGAGGCCACCTTGGCTTTCACGGGAGCAGGAGGGAGAGGGACAGATGAACAGAAAGGTGCAAGGGGGTTTTGCAAACCACAACAAAAGTCTGGGGGTTAGGTTTAACAGCAAGACTCCAGAGGCTGTTAAAAGGCAGTCGAGTGATAGGATCAGACTTCTGTTTTAGAAAGATGACGGGCCGCGGGCAGAGAACCAGCCGCAGAAGGTGTAAGTAAAAGGAGGGAGACTAGAAGCTTCTGAAGATCATTTGCTGCCACCGATCACCTTGCATTCGTGGCATGCTTTTCAGTAAGAACAAGATGGCAAGAGAGCCTTATTCCAAAGTCTGCACAAACTGGGTTAACCTAGCAGCATAAAGCACCATGTTAGCAGTCTCTGATAAGTCAAAATATTGCACAGCACATTTAAGGACATTATATCTTGTGTGTGTGTGTGTGTGTGTGTGTGTGTTTCAATATACAACTATTTTAAATATGACTTTAAAATGAAATTTTATGCCATCCCTAGTGAAATCCTGAAGCATCCCTTCAAGTCCCTGGAATACTGGAATGCTTTGGAAACCGGCACACTGGCACAATCACGCCTTTGCTGCTCCTTAAGACTTTCTTTCCACCACCGATTGAGAAGCTGAGGGAGGGAAAGGCGCTTATTAAAGTCTTTGATATCTGCTGCTATTTTGATGCATGTTCTGGAGCAAATTATCCTTGTCTCTAAATTATTCACGCACACAAGTGAGGCCAAAGATACAGACTGTCACTTGGATGTTCCAAACTTACCAAATGCAAAAAACGGCTGAAGCAAACCCTTCACCTTCCCTTCCGTACCTGCTCTGCTCCTCTCCTTTCCCTTTCAGTAAATTATTATTTTTTCTGGTGGAAACCAGGAAGTCATCAACTCCACAATGTCCTCCAAGCCCCACCTCCAATAAAATACTAACATCTGCTGAATAAACCTCCTGAACCGTTGGCTCATCCGCACCTCTAACAGGTGCATGCCATCACTAGGCCGCTGCTGGGTATAATCACTCTTTCCTCACCTGATGAGAGCAGGGCGTCCCCAACCCACAGCAAGACACAGATGCACGGAGTTTGGCATGCGACTTAAGGAAGGAATTCATGTCCCAACGGGACTCCTTGCCACTTTAAAGCTACTACCAACCTCCAGCTAAAAAGATTTCTTTAAAACTCAAATCTGATGTCAATAATGTGCTTAAAATCTTTCACTGGCTCTCCAAAGTTAGAGAGAGTGGAGTCAAAGCTCTTGGCCAGGACATGCAAGGTCCTCCGTGAAGGGGGCTCCTATCGACCTCTCCAGTCTCGTCTTCCACAACCAGCTTCACAGGTTCATCTCAAAGGAATGCAAAGAGCAGGCACACAGGTCCCTGTTTCCATGCTTTGCTCCTGCCATTCTGTCTGCCTCAGATGCCCTTCCATCTTTTTATTCATTCAGCTAACTTTACTCACCTTTCAAGACTCTGTTCAGGCTTCTTCTTTACTAGAAAGCCTCCTTCGGACCTCCAGGTTGGGCTAAGGGACCGGCACTGCACAGCTTGAGCATACACCCTGGTCATAGCATCAGCCGGCCATTGCCCACTTGGAACTATCTTACTCTATCTTACTTGGAACTCTCTCAACTGTGAGCTCCTCAAAGATGGGGGCTAGGTATTTCATCTGTGTACCCAACGTCTGGCACAGACTGGCAAAGGACACGTTTAATGAACTGAAGAACCTTCTCCCAGATACCAATTTCCTGTCCTGAACACCTACCGTGTGCCGCCCAGTGCTGGGCGCTATACAAACCTGTAACCCTCGCTACTGACCAGCAAGGCTGCAGTATCACACAGCCCCTTTCAAATGAAGAAGCCAAAACTCTAAGCGTCTTGCCCCAGGTCGCTAGGCTAATAATGGGTGGGGCCAAGTTTGGAACCTAAGACAGACCCGACCGCCGAAGCTCTTTCCAGACCCCACACTGCTTCCCACGTAGTCCGCACTGTTGTGTTGCGCCTGCCACGTGCAGGTGCGCAGGATGAAAGCAAACAGGACAGACACCACGCCGGCCCTTCGCGGTGGGGGAAGGGGGCTGGAGCCATGGAGAAACCAAGAGGAGCCGGCACAAAAAGCGCTCCTCACGGCCCCACAAAGCGGAGTCCGACTCCGGAAGCAGCTCCGCGGAGGCTCCCACTCCTGTCTCCGTGGAGGCTCCCACTCCTGTCTCCGTGTCCGACGGGACCGATCCACACACGACACCTGCCGTCACAAGCGCTGCAGTCCTACCCCAAACAGGAACCTGGCACCTGGGGCACCGCATCCTCCCGCAGGCCCGGGCCTGCTCCTCCACTCCCGCCGCCCGCTCCGCGCCACCTGGGGACTTGGGTCCCCGGCCCCGGGAAGGCGGGTCCCGGGGGAGACCGCAGCCCCCGCGGCCCCACCCATCCGCCCTACCGCGGGCCTCCCCGCCCGCACCGCCTTCGGGACCCGCGTTCCCGGCCAGGCTCAGTCCGGGACCGGCCAGGGCCCGGCTCTCACCTCACAGCCTCTGTCCCGCCCCTGGGGCCGCCTGCGGTCGGGGTCAGACGCCCACAGCCCAGGCAGCGGACACTGGGGCAGCCACTCCAGTTCGAATTCCAGTGCCAGCTTTTCCGGCGCCCCAGGCCCCGCCCGCCGGGCCCCGCCCCCGAGGCGTCGCGCAGGCGCAGAACTGACCCGGCCCCAGGTTTCCCGACTCCGCTGAGGGGAGGAACCTAGCGTCCTGGTTTCTCCGACCGGAAGTCGGGGGGAGGAGCTTAGTGTCGCGGGCGCCGGAGGGCCGGAAGTTGTGCCCTGGATGGATGGGCTTCTCCTACCTGTGGTTCTCCGAGGTTCTGCTTCCAATTTAGAAAGACTCCGTGACCTGATCCTCAGCCCCTCTTCGCCTTCAGACTTCCGAGATGTCTGCGATTCCTGCTGAGGAAAGTGACCAGCTGCTGATCCGACCCCTGTAAGGGACCAGCGCGAGAGGGAATGAAGCCACGGGCTGTGAGAGGCGAGGAGGGGTAACCGGATGTTTGGCCGCCTCAGTCGCCCGCCCGCACGCTCGCAGGCCTCGGGAGCCTGCTCTTGGTCCGCAGTTGCGGGCCAGGCCTCTCGGGCTGAAGGGGTTTGGAGAACTGTGGATCGGAACGGGCCTGCTAGGTTGAATGGGACTTTGCTTTTTCTTCAGTCTCAGGGGAGAGTGTGTGGGAGTTGGGGGCGGGAAAAGGTGTCTCTTTGGGCCGCTGGGCGCTTTCCTAGGCGCTAAAGAGTGGAAGCGGCAATGCAGATGACGGCAGGATGAGACGAGGACCTGGGTTAAGCTCTGGCAGGTGTGAAGAAGAGCCAGATCTGTTTCTTACGTTACCTCCAGGACTTGACATTTGCCAGGATGTGAAAGAGGAAATAAATGAGCTCTGAGTTTTGACTTTCTGACTTCAGACCCCAGCAGAATAAGGAAGGGAGAAAGAGGAGAAAGAGCAGAGATGTGAAGGACAAAAACTCAAACCTTAATTGTCCACGAGAGAAGGCTAGTCTTTGAGTGGAGCTGGCCTTCTGCCAGAGAAACACTTCACAGATCTAGAATGCTGCTTAGAACTTAGACAAAGTGGAGAACTTTGTCCTAGAGATGAGCGGTTTGCGTTCACAAATGCATGTTTAGGTAGAAGTTAGCATCGCATTAACTCGTGCACTTTTCAAAAGGTAGACAGTGTCTCTGCATCCATCCAGTAAGGATTCGTTGAGCACCTACCGGAGACATAACAGGTTCCCCACTGCTTAGTTCACGCCTGTCCTCTCTTCCTGTGTTCAGCGAACACTGAGCAAGTGCCAAGCATCACACTAGGCACTAAGACAGCGCTGAGTTAACTGAATTCACTGTTTTGGTAGGAATAGCAACGCAAAGTGAAAAGTTCTGGAGAGATCGTTTGGAACAATAGGAGACCATTACTTCGGGGTCAGACGTGGAATTCAGTCCCTACTCTCATTTGCTAGGACAGCAACCTCACTGAACCCATTTCTTCACGTTTAAGTAATATAGCAACACATTGCAAGGAGTGAAGCTCATAGTAGGTGCTCAGTAAATGGTAACTCTTAGAAGAGTACTGATAGGCATTGCACTGAGTGCTGGGAGACTACGGAAAAGGGATTTCTAACAAGCTGACAAGCAAAACCTAGCTCCCATATCCTGGTGGATGCAGTGCTGAGTCCTAAAGAATAAGTAGGAATTAATGACCGGTAAAGTGTAGGGCAAGGATGTTCCAGACAGAGGAAGTGGCCCATGTGAAAAAGAGTGGTCACAGTGTGTGGCTGGTTTCCTCATGGCTGTGGCTGAAAGATGAGCTGGTGAGGTGGGAGAAAGGCTGTCAGGGACCAGCTTATGAAGGACTCTGTATACATACTAAGGAGTTTGGGTGTTTGTCATGTCAGTTCTAGAGAGCCATTGAAGGCTTTAAGCACGGATGAGATACAGTGGGAATTCGGCTTTAGGAAGATCGCTCCTAAGGATCTTCTCGCTTTAGGAAGATCTCTCCTAAGATCCCTCCTTTAGGAAGATCTGTTCCAGCAGTGTAGCAGATGAGTGAGTTCAGTGGAGGGAATCCAGGAGGAATGTAATGGAAATAATCCAAGTAAAAAGCAGTGAGGGCTTGGCAGGAATGAGATGAGCATTGAATGAATTGGAAAGTAGGTTTCAGAGAGTAAGGAGGTGACATCTTTACAGCTTTGTAGCTGATCAGATGTATTGGAAGGGGCAGTTGTGGAGAGGCGTGTTAGGAGGTCTTGGGTTCCTAAGCCGAGCAGCTGGTAAGGGGTCGTGTTAGTCACTTGAGTACAGGAGCTGGGGCAGTTCTGGAATAAAGGTGGGAGTTCTGCTGTGTTATAACAGCTTTATTGAGATACGATTTACATACCATACGGCTCATTAAAAGTGTACAATTCAGTGGTTTCTAGTATATTCAGAGTTGTAAGACCATCACCACTGTCTAATTCCAGAGCATTGTCATCATGCCGAATATAAGCCCTGTACCCATTAGCAGTCACCCCCATGTCCTCCCAACTTCCCCAGCTCCTGGCCACCATTACTCTGCTGTCCTTCTCTACAGATTTGCCAGTTCTGGACATCTCACTTAAATGGGATCATATGTAACCTTTTGTGACTGGCTTTGACTTCTTTCACTTAGCCTTATGTTTCCAAGGTTTATGATTTGGAAGTTTTTAGTCATTCAGCAAGAATTTCTTGAGATTTACCACATTCCAGGTGCTACAGCTAAATAGTGTAAGAAAGACAATGTCTCTGCTCTTAGGGAGCCTTCATTTTAATAGAAACAAACCGTAAGTAAGTGGATATAGTAACTCGTGTTAGTATAAACGTTGTGATAGGTAGAGTTGTGCGAAGGGCAAAGGAGAGGAGGTAGTCAAGAGGAGGCCTCAGAAGGTGACATTTGGACGGAGATCCAGATGGTACAAAGGAGCCAATCGTGTCAACATCTGAGGGCAGAGCATTCTAGGGAAAAAGAGCAAGGACAAGGGACTTGAGGTGAAGACGAGTTTGGCGTATTTGGCCATGAGGTGCCTGTGGGATTTGCCAGTAGAAATACCTAACCGCCTACAAGTACAGACTTGGAACTCATCAGCATGTCACACGTGTGGGACCGAAGATCACGGAGCCTGAGAAGAGGGCCGAGGAGAGGCCCCCGCAGTGTCAACGTTTGAAGTGTGGGCAGAGGCCTGTGAGTGTAGGGAAACTCCAGAGGAAAACCAGTGAGACAGAGGAGAGCGTGACTCAGAAACACCAAGGGAGAAGAGCCCAAAATCCCAGGCCGGCTTGAACGGCGAGGAGCCACCGAGAGGCCAGCGGCAGGGAGTGTGCGGGGCTCTCAGGAGGCGGCCGCGCAGAGAGTGGTGTGGGAACCGAGGGGAATCAGAAGGGAGGCCTTTTTTTTTTTTTTTTTTTTTTTTTTTTAAATTATTTTTTTCAACGTTTATTTATTTTGGGGACAGAGAGAGACAGAGCATGAAGGGGGGAGGGGCAGAGAGAGAGGGACACACAGAATCGGAAACAGGCTCCAGGCTCTGAGCCATCAGCCCAGAGCCTGACGTGGGGCTCGAACTCACGGACCGCGAGATCGTGACCTGGCTGAAGTCGGACGCTTAACCGACTGCGCCACCCAGGCGCCCCATGGGAGGCCTTTTAATGTTAGGGTGAGAACGCCGCAGCAGGTCTGGGTCGTGATGCAAAAGTAGGCGGGAGGGGAGGCGTCCAGGGCCTCCGGAGGACAGAGCGTGCAGAGCGGACATCCGTGGTGGCAAGGTCAGCCTTGGACAGAAAGAGAGCTCTGTTGTGTTGCTACAGGAGAAATGGAGGGGAAATATGTGGGTTAGTTGGGAGGTGAAGTTGAGGAAACTGGCAAACAAGCTGTATGTTTTTTTAACATTTATTTATTTATTTTGGAGAGACAGAAAGAAACAGAGTGTAAGCGCGGGAGGGGGAGTCACAGAATCCGAAGTAGGCTCCAGCTGTCAGCCCAGAGCCCGATGCGCGGCTCGAACCCACGAACCATGAGACCATGACCTGAGCCGAAGGCTGAGCCCCCCCAGGCGCCCCTAAGCTGTATGTTTTTTGATGCAGAGAACGCCCCTGCCTCAAGTGAAGAAGAAAGAAGGTTGGGAAAGTTAGGAAAGAGGACAAAGTTTGAAATCGTCGCTGTGGAAACTCTTAAGAGAAAACTGAGCTGGGGACACCTAAGAAGTTGCCTAGAGGGCCAGTTAACGTGGGCGGCCAGGAACTCATGGCAGCACCACGGTTGTTTGATTTTTGTTCATCAGAGTCCCCCTGGATGGTAGGATCTCCATTTGGAGATGGAGCCGCCCCGTGTCTGTCTCCCAGTGAGTGGACCGAGGTCCTTGAAGTCAGGGTCCGTGTAACAGGCATTTCCGTATGCGAGGCACGTAGAGTGCAGTGCTTGACGTTCAGGGAGTGAATTCAGTGTTACCTAGAATGGGTGGGAAAAGGCATCAGAGAAGGTGAGGGACTGGAAAAAATGGGTGGGGCTTAGCTTCAAGTGCATCTTAGGATAATTGGAAATTAAGGCTGTTTTACTCATTTAGGGAGAAAGGAGAATAGCCTAATCACTTGGCATCCAACACCCTGAAATAACAAACTAGAGGGAAAAGGGACTGAGGTTCACAGCCAGGAATAAAATAAGTCTATTTAAATCTAAGCTATGTAGTAAATGCATGATTTTCCTAAAGAAAATGAAAGAATTTGGAAGTTCTTACGGGTTCACACTCAAGTGCTGATCCTAAAAGTATGACCAGGTAATCTGCATAACCGCTAGATTACATTTCCGTTAACATCATAATTTAGCCCTAACATTCCGAAGATTGGATTTAACCTTGGGCTTCACGTATCTGCACCGTCTCCTCTCAAGTTTTAGCAACTGCGAAATCCCTGAACTCCCAAGGGTTAAGTTCCATCTTTTCCCACACTGACACCGCTCTTCCCTATCTTTGTAAGTTTCTAGAACTCTTACCTGCCTCAGATAAGTGTTATCATCAAAATGGGGCAGTATTTAAGTTGTAAAAAAGAAAGTTTGGATTTATTGGGCTTGATTTTGGTTGTTTCTAATCATTTTTACTTCTCCCCTTGAATGTTTGCAGTGGAGCTGGGCA